AAACTGAATTGTAAAACATAATCCCGTATAAAGTTGCTAAATGAAGTATTAATTGCAGCTCACGCCACCTCTAATACGATAAGAAACTAACTTTTCCAAACGAAATTTACTGTTTGTTTACAGCTGCTGCTGCTGATGTTAGCTCCGGAGCCTTAACATCCAGTAACTTGATAATGTTTTCAGCGCCGAAGTTTTTGCAGGAACTTAATTTTCAGTTGAAGATTGATGTCTCTGCGTTGCTGTTCTACGTTTTTAGTCTCACGCCGTGTAAGGGGTATTACGGAAAATAATTCCAAAAGTGGGACCCGCAGTTTCGTTTGAAAATTTTATTTAATTATTTTACACAAAATTTCAGGTAACGTTGCCGCCTCTACCTACTTACCTATCATTCACGGTTTTAGAAAAAATAATACGTAAAAATAGTATGTTGATTTTTAAGAACACAAATATATAAATAAAGTTTAACAATTAATTCCGCAACTGATACCCTCTTTCTTATTCTTATAACTAATTAGTTCAAGTTTTTGGATAGAGCAGTAGTGTCAGTGGGTTTTTATTGCATCTGGTTTGACTATTGTGTTGAAGCTCTGGGAACTCTAGACGCTGTGTGGTGTGATATATTTCGTGCTGTTACGCGACTCTTACGTAAAAATAAAAGAAAAGTTGCATCTAAGCGCAATCGGTGAACTTAGTTCTGCTTTATCTTTGTATCAAAATCTCGATTATAATTTTTTTTTCACAGGTTCCATTTAAAACGTGTTTTTTTCCAAACTAATATCCAGCTTTCCATGTAATCTTCTAATGTTTGGAATATTGGCAAAGACATAAAATAATTTTAACATAATTTTTGAACTTTAAAATATCCAATTTTGCACTGCGCGATTGCGAAGTAAGACTTTAAGGCCCTAGCATCGTTAAGACAGTGTTTAACGCAAGGCATTTCGGACGTTTTCCGGTTCTTTTTTTTTTAAATTAAACTGAGGTGGCTTTTACTTGATGAAAATCCATTTATCAAAATAAATAAGAACTAAAAGTTCAGATTTTCACGAAATTATATATTATGACATGACAATTGTTTCGACAACACCGTGTCTTTATCAAATGATTTGAAAAAGCCACGGTGTTGTCGAAGCAATTGTCATATCAAAATATATAATTTCGTGAAAATCTGAACTTTTAGTTCTTATATATATATATTTTATTTATTTAGTTTCGACATGTAAAACATAGTTTATCCCAACCACAAAAAATCAGCACAAGTCTCTACGGGACAACATCAAACACCATTAAAAAATTAAGATAAATGTTTAAAATTTTATATTACTTTATGGCAGCATATTAAATTAATATTGAAGATACTTTATATTTGATATAAAACCCACAATAAGTTAAAAGTTCGTGGGAATTGTTTTATTCTTGAAAAATATTAATAACTAGTAGAAAATAGAGAGTAATCTAATTGGAACTCATTCATTCTATATGACGGTTCAGTTAGAACTACTAGAGAAATTGTTCTCTTTTATCAATACTGAGATTTGTGCCCTTCTTAGTCGTCCGTAGGGAGTAATAACAAAAGACATGAACAACTTAAAATTAAGTGAACATCCAAATTAAGTTAAAAATCAAATGATTCCGGAACGAAGGAGTTAACAGAGCGAATAAATTGGGATATATTTCATTGTTTATAGATTACGTGAGTTTGGCTATTTTTGAATACATGAAATTGGGTTCTGTGGTAAAAGCGGCCATCTTGTGCCAGTGTAACATCCTTTAATTTAGTTCTACTTTTCCCATTACTTTGCGACGTGAACATTTAAGTCATACTAGGTTGTAAGCCAGGGCAGAGTCAAAATTTTAATAAAACTTAAATTTAGATAAGAAAATGTTGAAACTAAACTGTTAACTTTATATAAAAACGGAAGCCCTGAAGTTTGGTGCGGAGGAGGTCGTCGTCCGTCCTACTTAACAAATGACCCCCGATTTTAATTACTTTGCAGAATCCACTGACGCTGAATTCTCATTAACTTTTTAATTTCCCTGTAAAATTAGCCGTCTTTTGTGAGTTAAATAACTTGAGCTGTGCTTTAATAATTTCGTCAAATAATCAGGAATATTTCGAATAAATCATCCCTTAATGAAGTAATCCTTTCTACTTTGATACGGCTCCTGCCTGCCCTTTGTTACTTTGTTTAATTTTGGCTCGGATATTATAATTAGATTTTTAATAATCTCACTTTTCTGTACTTACTTCATGAAACTTTTCAACTTTTTAGAAAGTTAGATTCCACTTACCTACCACATAATAAGTAGCCACTGTATTGTTGGGTTGTTATTGTAGTCATATTGTTTTTCCCACTAGTGGAATTATCACACAGGCAACGCAACAGAAAAAAATAAATAAATCAGTAATTAATAATAATTAAATAACAAATTCTTTATTGAATTCATGATTTCATAATTTGATTGCGTTCAGTTCAGATCAATAATGTCATAAATTAGTTAAATTTAATTCAAGCAAAATAAGAAAAAACTATCATTTAGCGCGTCGCAGTGCAAAGCAAAAGTAACCAAACACTTTTATAATATACAAAATAAATGTTCGAATTATAAAATGACGAAAATATAAAAATAATTAACTATAAATTTTAGCATAATTACAGCACAGAAATACAGATATATACAGGGTGCTTCACAAATGGCGATTAAATTAAATTTAAATTTAAATAGTACGCCATTGTTTTATTACAGTCACTATATTTTTGAATTTGTTTTTCAAGTTTTTGTTACTCCTTTATGTTCTTCAAAAATGGTATAATTTTTTAGAAGAACATAAAAAATGCTCCAATCATATCTCGCCTATCAAATAAAGTGCCCTTTACAATTTTATAGCATGCTTCGGATACAAATTTTGACATTATGCTATCTTATTTTCTAATAGAAATAATCAGAAACATAACTCGAATGGCAGAATATCAAAAATAATTCAAAGTATGTTTGTGCATATACCTTTACCTGATCGAATAAATAACATAATAATACACCTTTAGCAAGTTGCTAATTTAATGTTGTTATCATATCGGGGCGACTGTAGTACACTATTTAGAGATTTATTTACATTAGAAATAATTCAGAGTCAAAATCAATAAAGTTTATAAAAAAAAACATTCACTGAGTGACCTGTGACGTCACTATCAGAACAATAACTAACAGTGGCTAAAGTACCTAAAAAACTGAAAGCGGCTCACGATGGTCTTTACTGAAGCTAACGTCTTAAAAAAAAGAAGAGATATTGTTATGTCCTGTTATGTAATTATTTTATTCATGCTACGAACATAGAAATGTTCTATATACGAAGTTTGCAACATGCATGGCGGCATCAATAAGATAAAACATCCATTTAAAGTCTATTTCGAGTGACTATTAGTTTTAGTTTTGTACATTATAAAATTTCTTTGTTGACTCAATCACGCAATTTGGTAGCTTAATCAAAACGATTTCTAGACAGTTTTCTACACATCCACACCGAGAATGTAGAAATCGTTTTCGAATTTCCCGGATGTATTGTTGGGGAACGATATTATGGTGGCTAATATGAGCACATGCCGAGTATTACGTTTTACGCTTCCGTTGAGATTCGATTCAGCCATGTTAAATACATTTGGATTGTTCGTTTTTTCTCTCGAATCGTAACCCAGTTGCATTGTGAAAAATATTGCAGCTCCCATTTCTTCGATGGTAGTTATTATAGGTTAGGTTATAGGTATTGTTTAATAAGGAGAAAATTGTTATCACTGATGAAGTAAAAATGTGCTATATGTTTTTATTGTATTTACTCAGACAGTGCTGCGCTGCGCTGTCCGGACATTCGTCTATGTGTTGTTAAGGGCATATCCCGTTTTAACATCCAACAGTAGTCCGCCGTTATCGTCATGGTCTATCTGCTTTGGTATCGCCGTTCCATTTCCTTAATGTCTTGGTGAAACATCTCTTCCTGTTCTGCGCTAACTGCTCCAAGATTTTCAGGAATACAGTTCAAGTTTGAAAACAGGAAATGCACTTTGAAACTCATATTACCACCTAGACGATGAATTTGCCAGTTTCTTAATGCTTCAACGCAAACGGAACAAATGGTATGAGGAGAGCAGAACTTATCTCGGTCGCTAATTTTTACACCAAAATAAGTGTGGCTTACATTTTTTACATAAGAAATTATAGTTTGCCTTTCCTTTACTACGACACAATTACCACAGATATAACAAAAGTTAATTGGATTGTTCACATAATCTCTTCTTTCCATATTTAGACATTTTAGATAGAACACTATAAATACGCAACAACGAAGAAAACAGCCTCGAAGACAGTAGCACCAATACAACTGCGCATAAGCAGGTACTGACGCTTCACCGCCAATTCTGTTGCTTTGCAGAGAAATCTAATATTATTCAGTGTTGCCAAACCACCTTTAATTTATTAAAAATCATTTTCTTTAAGAATCATGCCTGACATGGAACCAACGTATATTAATAAAGTGGTATTTTTAAAATGTAGAGCGTTATAAAAAAATAACGTGATAGAGCAATAATATGGAGTTTTTTCGAACATCAAAATCACTGTAGACCTGTATAATTAACAGATACAAAATTATGATTTGAAAGTGGAAAAATATTCAATCATATAATATTATGCAACAAGTAAACCGTTTTTGCAAAACGACACGAATACATTCAGAATACATGCGGTAATATCACGTGTCACTCCATGAATGTGTTCATCCAATTTTTTCAAAATGTATCTAAAAACTAATGTTCTCAGAAAAAGTATAGTAGGTAAAACGTTTATAAACTTGTAGCGTAATATTCTATTCCTGGTATACCCAAGCATTATATCCAGAGAATACGAGTTATCAATATACAGAAAGACTTTGCTCTAAAAAATACAAGTTAGCACTGGTGTTGTCCTAGATATACCTCAGATTGACATTGTAGTCATATAATCGTCTAAATCTGACAGTTACTATTCTTTCTTCGAAACTGCAAAATTTTAGTGAGTTTAATTCGTAAAAATGTCTACTTGCCGCAGCCAAATATGCAATCCCAAGTTGGGATTAGATGACTGGATCGACCCAAAAGTGACTCTTAGTATTCGCCAAGAAATGCAGAAAATGATATTGGACAACGAGACCCTTAAAGTAATTTCTGCCCTGCTTTTGGATAATATCGAACGGGGCTTGAAAAAGGATACTCATCCGAAATCTATTGTGAAATGTTTCCCTACATACGTGCAGGATTTACCCGATGGAACGGAAAAGGGAAAGTTCCTCGCGCTTGACCTGGGTGGCACAAATTTTCGGGTACTATTGGTCGAATTGGACGGAACCAACTGCAACATAGAGTCGAAGATATTTGCAGTTCCTTTGGATATTATGACGGGACCAGGAGAGAGGTTATTTGACCACATTGCCGAGTGTCTAGCACAATTTGCCTTTGAACAAGGTGTCATGGATATTCGCCTGCCACTTGGATTCACTTGGAGCTTCCCACTTATTCAAAAGGGACTGACTGTTGGCATCGCGGAGAGATGGACAAAGGGCTTTAGTTGCTCTGGAGTCATTGGAAATGACGTTGTTCAGCTACTCAACGAAGCGATTGCTAGACGAGGAGACATCAAAATTGATGTCTGCGCTATTCTCAATGATACTACTGGTACTTTAATGTCATGCGCGTACAGAAACCCAGATACCAGAGTCGGGTTGATTTTGGGAACGGGTACCAATGGTTGCTACGTTGAGAAGCAGAAAAATGCTGAAATGTTCGATGAACCTGATATGGGTTCAGGCAATGTTATCATAAACATGGAAATGGGTGCATTTGGGGATGACGGATGTTTAGATTTTATAAGAACCGACATAGATCTGGCGGTAGACGCGCAATGCATAAATGCTGGCAGACAATTGCACGAGAAATTGATATCGGGGATGTACCTTGGAGAAATGGTCAGATACTACATATTAAAGTTCATAAACAGAGGACTTTTATTCGGCGGCAAGGGTGCCGATCTATTCTCGAAACAGTGAGTGAAGGTGTATGGTTGTAGGTAGTTTTAGTATTTCACTGCTTTCAGGGAGTCTTTTTCTACTAAGGAAATGACGCAAGTCGAAATGGATTCTCCTGGTAGTTACAAAATCATTAGGGAAATTCTAACAAAGATAGGTAATATTGGTTGATGGTTTTTATGGAACTCGTTCCCTTTGGTCGTAATTTTAACCATTTTTTTGGTTATTTAGGTTTGACCGATGTTTCTGATGAAGACTGTATCAATGTAAGATTTATTTGCGAATGTGTCTCCAGAAGGGCAGCGCATCTGGCAGCAGTTGTGCTGGTGACTGTTATGCACAAAATGGGCGAAAAAAGAGTAGTCGTAGGTATAGATGGATCGGTGTACAAGTACCATCCCCATGTCAGACGATACATGATTCAAAAAATTAGAGAATTACTTGATCCGAGTATAAAGTTTGACCTAATGTTGTCGGAGGATGGAAGCGGCATTGGCGCTGCTTTGGTTGCAGCGGTCGCAGCAAGAAAAAGACGAGAAATGCAATAGGATCTTTGAGCCGTTCTATTTGAATAAATAAATTCATATATTCATATGAATATGGCCCACTTTCTAATACATTCATTTAACTAAATCAGAGTACATTCTCTTAATGTTGCCTTTAATTTTGAAACAAGTTATTGCATCCAAATTGCTAAAAATAAATAAGATCTTTCCATATTTTATAAAACTGCATACCGTGTGCATCAATAAGATCTTCGATTAAAATAGCTCATATACGCTAAGAGATAAGAAAAAGCTTCGTAGCAAAGTTGATGCTAAAAATATTTACCAAGATGAAAAATGGTTATTTTGATTTATTAATATATATTTTAAAAAGTCTATACTAAAGATGTCGGTATTTTACATGCTAGTTATATATTATATAGTATATTTTTTACTCTAATGTTTGCAAATCTTCCATAGTAGTTAAAAGATTTTGTACCCCAATATTGACATAAAAATAAAAATAATATCTACTTAATAAGTTGGTCACGACTTTATAAAATAAAATACCTTACAACACTAAATAACTAAAACAACTAACCAAATCTACATTAAATGTTCAGAGAGATCCAGGTTTTCGCTCAATATCTTTATGGATATTTTTCAGTGCACACTTTGTATCCTGTTCTGACGTACATCGCCAATTTTTAAAAAAATAAATAAATAAGTAACATTTAATAGTACTCCCCTCGCATAACGAACCTAATAAGCCTATATTTCGTCTGCCTGTAAGATCCTGAAGTATTTGACATTCAGATTATTGTTTTTTTCTCTATCAATGATTGTTTTCTAATTAAATTATAATTATACCACGAAAATTACGCATACCAATTTAGAAAACAGTTTGCAGATATTTCAGTCACTTAAAACTTAAATAATTCTCTACTCTTAAATACTTATTTCCGATACTTTAGTAACAGGTTTGGGGTTTCGAGCGATCAGATGTTTTCGGTAGATTTTAGGCCACGAATGGTTAGTCGCAAGTAATCCCAGCGAATTTTCAAATTTTATTATTTCCGCAATATTTGGAAATATTAGTTTTGAAATTTATAAAATTATAATATATGTGAATAGATGTATGCATTTCTACATGACCTTTGCAAATGTTGTTGTTTTATTGATTTTTTTTAATTTTAAATATTAAATTTCAAAACTAAAAAGTATAGCATCTTTCATATCTTTCACAGTCAGCATACATGTATAGAGTGGGCCCTTTATTTTGGGGCACCACCTTATCTCAGAAACTATAGGGGATGGAGCCAAAAGTTAAATACAAAAGTTAATTGGGGCATTACAAACCTTCATTTTATTTTAATGTTTCATTTTTCGTGGGCGAGTATCACCTTTTTTATTTTAAAAGGGACACCTAGAATATTACTTCATTTTTGAATTCTATTCAAAATTCTAGACATTACATACAATATGTCTAGAATTTTGAATAGAATTCTAAAATGTCCTCTACCTATTGTACGTATAACAGTTTTAATATTTTATTCGATATAGGGTACGCGAAAAATAAGATTTAAAATGAAATTAAAAACACTGCCAAAAAACTTTTTTTTTTATTTTTATAATCTTGTCATAATTAGCATTAAAAATTGAGGCAATTTTATATAAGGTTGTATATGTCTAATATTTTTACTCTTTGAAATATTTCCATTTAAACATTTGTCTATCACAAATAATATGATGTTGCCATATAAGTTCAGTTAGTGTAAGGTGGCTATGACGCCGTTAGAACGCTGCTTCATGGGATGCGTGTTTTGTTGTTGATTACTGTCATACTTCAAATATTTTTTGACCAATTATTCATTTATTTATTCATGGTTTATAAATTTTATTTATTCGCTTGGTTGCTTATCATGTTTGCCAAAAAGGAAAAGATTGATATGTTACAAAGTTGCATATCGAACAATAAAAACCTGACTCTTGCTCTTAGATATTATATAACAAAAGTTCCATCAAGAAGGCACCCAGAAAAAAAGATCTTCGATAGGTATTTACCAATACTTAAGAATCTATGGAACCTTGAAGAAATAGAGCAACTAAATATTTTGTTGTATTTTGCAGAGACCCCTGAAGATTAAACCCTAAATGAGTCTTTAGATCTCGATTTCAAAAGAACAATGCTTTGAACGTGCCTTTAAATAAACAACTGGAAGTCCTATAAATTCTGTCCAGTGCAGAAATTAGAGCAACGAGATTACAACATCAAGTTAGATTTTTGCAACTATATTATGGAGAGACACATTGCAGAAAATATATTTGCTAAAAATATTTGGACAGATGAGTCCATATTTAAATTTTTAACAAAAGCTTTTTATCGGAAATTACCCAGCAATAAGAACAATAAAAACCATATGGAAGCTACAAGATCAGGTAGAACATTTGTCAAAGTATGCTGAGCCATTGGGAGGCTCAGAATAATAGGTCCCGGATTTTTTTTTATCAGAATTTAATTTACCAACTCTACTTAGAGCTTTTAAATAGCATCCAGCCCTTTGTTGACTTAACTCCACTAGATTTATTTTCTATGGGGTACACTTAAAGATTTACTTTACAAACACAAACCCATAACTGCCGAGGAAACGTCGGTTAAGAGAAGGTATCGGATATTTAAATGGGATTGAATCTGTTAGAAATGCCATTATGTATTTATTATTTTGTATAAATAATGCATTTACGTTATCTTTGGATCTTCTTAAGCGCATCGCACTTGTTTTATTCAAACGCCGTAATATCCATCTTATACTAACAGAACTTATATGGCAACAGCATATTATTTGTGATAGAATGTGAAAATGTGAAAAAAAAATTATGTCGAAATAGTTTTCAAATTTTTTGTTATTAAGATATAAATAAAATGCTGTCATCCGTTACAATTCTAGTATTTTCAGTGTGACGCATTCCTTTAAACCGCCATGACAGTACTTTACAAATAATACATGGCATTCGTAATACTATACGCGACCTTCCCCTCTATCTTATACTCTTTGGCCCACCCTATACATATTCAAGAACCAAACACGTATTTCGAATCATCATTATCGATATTCGATAATACGATGTTGGGCATCGAATACGAGAATATTCTGCATCAAACCGCCATATTTAGGTTGTCCTCAAAACGATGACCGCTTAATGTTATATTAAATACCACCCGCATTCCGTCCTTTGGCCTTTGCCTAACAAAGTGTCATAGATCAACGTCTCACTGCTAATGTAAGCGGGGAAGTTTTCACGGTAAAATTCCTGCCGCGACGACGGTCCTTGTAATGTCAACAAATATTTAAATAACGTGTGAAACAGTTACTTTTAACGGCGCATTTACGTTCCCGCCCCTCTGTTACACTTTAATTGTGCTATTACCAGCCCCAGGGAGGATTAAATTAACACCTTTTGTTTTCGACCAATAAAACCCGGTCAATATGGGGGTTTTAACAGACAATTTAATGCTCAATTAATAAAAAGGTGATTGGAGATTAACACCGAACGCGTTTCGTTCCCGGGTTCGATCTCCGAGCTTCTAAACAACAGAGGCAAATAGCTTTGGAAAGCGTTTTTTTAATCAATTTCGCGATGTATTAATTTGTGGAATATAAAACTCAAATAAATAACAATCCCAATAGAAATTGCTGACCAATTGCTTGTTTATAGCAAAATGTACAACTTTAAATATTTTATATTATAAATATTATATTATGTATACAGAAGTGGTCATTTAACGATATGATTATTTATATTTTCTTAGAATAAAAGCTGAAACATGTTGCCTAAAACATAGTATATTTTGTATAAAGTGCAATAATTAGCATATTAGCAAGTTATTTATGGAAAATACATTCAAAATTTATTTTCTTTTTATGCATACTGTTCCTCTATCTTTTTCCTTATTTGTTTCTATTCGGAGATTAGTTACTATAGTTAATATATAGATATATAATAATTATATTATTGAACATAATTATAAAAGGTCATTGTTTCTGTTATTATGGTCATCATTCGGAATCAAGGCATTGTATTTTTTTAGACTAAACTAATTAACAATTCAAAAATATTTATAAACTTATACCTAGATTTACAATAAATAAAAATGATAGTATATTATACCAAAAGGTTTATAAACGCCATCACCAGTTTGTTTTGACACGAGCGAAGCAGATGCTCAATAAACGAGTACAATGTATCATCAGTTTATTGAAAATCAGTATTTTGGACGAAATCCTACCTATTTTAAACTGCTATCTGTCTAAAAAAAAATCTATCTAAAAATATGTTATTAATAAATAATCTGCAAAACAAAGAAACGGAAACTATTTAGGACCACAAAGATGGAATGGTTTTCATGAGACATTAAGTTCTATTTTGGAGTCGAGCAAAGATGCATGTTTATTAAGAAGAAACACTGTATGTGTCGAATATTAAGTATGACTTTGTGACACACCAAAACATAATAACCTACGTAGCACAAACGTGCTGAAAAATGTCATATACCCTACCATATAACAACTTTTAATATAACTCTTTTATTTTAAAAATAACTGGTAATCTTTGATATGGCGTTTTAAGCATGGACAAGGCGCAAGTTGTTTATAAAACAAATTGTATCCAATAGATGTTATATAATGATCACTCATAATAACTATAATACAATATTTATCACTTTATAAAAACGTTAATAACAGCCATAAGTGTGGTCCGGGGTGATCCTAAACAACATTTCTGTGCTCTTTGACAATAATTATAACATAATTTTACAGCAACATTGAAAACCTTTCGTTTAAAAACAATCTTCAACAACTTAGCAATGACATTTCCATTTTGTAGGAATCACGAAAGGAATTATTCTTATTTTTATGCGATAATAATGCCGATAAAAATGATTTGTTAAATGCCTTTATGATGCAAATGGGAATTATTTGCTTGATGGCGGGCTTCTTGAAGTTCACAAGCTTTCGCTTAAATTGGATAGGTGTATAATAACTGTGTCTGAAATATTACGGCTCTGATTCTGAAATACTCTTACAAGGTCAACAGTACTGACGTTATACATATAT